CTCCACTCTACAGCCTTATTGTCTGGCAGCTGAAATATGCGCTCAGCGAGGAGCTGTTTGGGTTTAGGGGCGTAAGACATTAATGCGGATATGTAAAAATGTCTGTTGTCTCCCTTTTTAATACGTCTGAGTCGAAACCTCTCCGTGGTTAACTAGCGTTCACTCAGCCAGCACTGAGTAGCCAAGTCTCCAAACATTAGCCACGTATGTGCACGCCAAGTAAACTCATTCCTCACCCTGTCTGGTAACTGAAATACGTCCAGTGGCTGTCACATCAACAAAGCAACGCCCTACAGCTTTTTAACCTTGCTTTTAAATCCCCCTTTTTACAGGACTGGGCTTATCCAATGAGGCGAGAAATGCAGGTATGTGAAATGAGTCTGTAGTGGGAAGCATAATGTTGACAGCAGGATGTCTTTATTCCTGTTTCTGTACTTGGCTGTGGTTCACTGTGCACTGAGCCCCACATTAAAGAGCAGTTTCTATATGCATGCTGGTTAAAGTGTATTGGATATCATAATCTCCACCAATAATCATGTAATTCAATTCTAGACGAATGTGTTTGTTTACAAATACGAGTTGTGTGTTTGCAGAAGGCCATATTTCAATATTCACCTACCATCTGCTGTGATCTGATCATATTATGTTATTTCATTACATAAGTCTGTTCTTTAAAGTTATTATTAACTAAATGAATCAATAAAGGTGGTGTTAAAGAGTTCTGTTTGCTTTAAAGCATAGCAGTGGAGCATTGAACACCAATGGGATTACTTTACATATGAGTTGAATTCATTCTCTATATTATGAAATACATTATTCCTACTAACATATGAAGTTCCCAGCCCTAATTCTGCCACTACAGTCATTTACAAGTTAGAGAACCTGATATTTAGAGGCTCACATTACTACTACTGTTACTAATTACTCGAACAAATTGTCTTTAGAAAATATGAACACTGGATGTGAGAACTTACACAGGTTCATCTTGGTTGTGGAAGTTGAACAGATCCTACTATTGGCTGCTATTATACTGCAGAATATGTACATATACAAGTAAAGATATCAAGAGGCTTAGTGTCTCATTTCAGGAATTAATGTGTATTCATTATTTTGAACATCAAGTTTGTTGTTAGTGATGTCCTGCTCTATCTTTATTTTTAGGAGATATTACCGGGGCTGTTTTTAGGTCCCTACTCTGCTGCAATGAAAAGCAAGGTAATCTTTATAGAGTTAACTCTTGGTTCTTGGAGACTTTATTTGCCTATTTTTTCATAGCTCCTGTTACTTCTCCTCTTTCTCTGTGTCTAGCTGCCAATTCTCGAGAGACAGGGCATAACGCATATTGTGTGTGTCCGCCAAGACATTGAAGCCAATTTTATCAAACCTAATTTCCTTCATACATTTAGGTAAGTAAGAACTCACAAGATCTTCAAACCTCAATAGCTGATGTGAACTGCTAACTGAATTAAACTTAAAAGTAAGCATTGTTTGTTCAAGTGCTTTCTTGCCAACCCATGAACTAAATGTTGTGTCTTTGCAGATACCTTGTGTTAGATATTGCTGACAATCCAGTGGAAAATATAATACGATTTTTCCCTAAAGTGAGTTACAAACTGTGCTTTTTACTGTTTTTTTTTTTCTGGCAAGCTTTTCATTAATCAAAAGGAATGGTGTTTACATTGTGTTTGATGCACTATATTTCTCTTCTCTCCCCCTCCCCCCAACAGACTAAAGAATTTATTGATAGCTGCTTAGCAACAGGAGGTAAGGATGCAAGCTATTTCTAATGTTAATACTCTGATGTCAGGTAGAAAAAAGTCTTTTATCGACCATCTTTTGTCTTGTTCTTTCAGGAAAGGTACTGGTTCATGGTAATGCAGGGATATCAAGAAGGTGAGACTTTGTTTATTTAATAATTTCCTTCAGTACATTCTGAGACTAGTGCCGCAGAACCCAGATTTCAACTGTGTGTGTTTAAAACTTTCCTTTATTTGTTCTTCAGTGCTGCCTTAGTGATTGCATACCTTATGGAAACATTTGGGATGAAGTACAGGTGAGTTTTGTTTTTTTCCTCACATGAAATTCTGTTTTACCCTAGTTGAAGTCTAACCTCTTTTTAATAAGTCTGTGATTTTTCCAAGAATGAATGCATTTAGATGCACATTCTGGGTGGTACACCATGCCCCATATGAATCTCTTGTTTCATTTGTGTCTACTTCAGGCATAAATATTGAAAACTACATAAAAGAACTGAATGAAAAAGTGCAGGCTTAATAAAGAAACACACTGCAGCATAATTTGTTCGAATATAAAACGGTGCAACAAATAGAAGCACAATTTATTTACTTTGCTACAGCATAATGAATATCCTACTGCTCATTCTATAGGGATGCATTCAGCCACGTCCAGGAGAGGAGGTTCTGCATCAACCCCAACGTGGGCTTTGTGCATCAGTTACAGGTAAGTCTTCACGTCCAAACATCCTGATTAATCAATAAGACGGTCCAGTCGATAAGTGAACGTGAAGAACTAATTTTACTACGCACTACTAGTTTGATAGTCAATGAAATATAAAAATACACTGCCACTAGCTCGTTGACTGTAAAAGGCTTGGGTGTGTCTGTATTAATAATGACTGCAGCAAAATGATTCAGCATCTAGAGCTCTGAACCTTTCTTTCCCCAAGGAAGGCAGTGTGAAACATGGGATATATGAACAGTATTGCTGCAGACTATATGCATGCTTGCACTGCATGTTTGTCCCTAAACAGACTCATTCAGATGACATGTTATCTTACAATATGTGTTTTCATTCTGAGTGATCTCCTGCTGGTGTGACTCGGCAGAAATTATTTTCCTATCTCCATTATGCATATGCTTCTCTGCAGTCTTCTCTTACCCAGCCTTCAATGGCCACATTTAGTAACCCACGTTTTATTCAGACATCTTGCAAGCATGTGTTTGAGCACATTGTTTATTAGATGTTATATAAATAATCCATTGAGGCACTGCAGTACCTCACCTGGTAGAGCCCCAGGTTCCAGTCACGCCCAGGCCCTTTGCTACATGTCATCCCCTCCCTCTCCCCTGTCTGTCGCTCTACACGCTATCAGTGTGCGACTATAATAACAGAGATATTCTTTTGTTTTTGTCTGTGACGACAGCGCGGTTCAGTGATGAAAATACTGTCTGGACATTACTCATTCTAAAAAGAAACTCTTAATAGCTGGAATAATGAATGTTTATTTGTTTCCTAGGAATATGAAGCGATCTACCTAGCCAAATTGACCATTAAAATGATGTCACCGATGCAGTTGGGCAGGTCTTTCTCCTTACAAGCTGGGATGCCAGGTTTGTACATAATGTACCCAGTCCTGCTTAGTCACACCTGTTCCCTCACTTTCTTTTTGTCCCCGGACCAGCACGGGAGAAAGGTTTAGCTGAAGCTGTGGTTGAGTGGGAATAAAAGTAGAAAAATGAAATACAGAGCGATTGCGATTCTCAGCCACACGATAATTTTAAAAAAAGCATTCAAAATAGTTCTGGTGTCATGTTGTTTGGGCACATTCCACATTTTTTTAACCTAACGTGTAGTTTATGCTACACGTAGGGTTTATGAGGGTAAGAAAGATTTAGTGATGATTTAATACTCTATAGCGCTGACCTAATCAAATCTGACATCACAATTGTTGACACCAAACAGTGCTGACTTTTCAAATGATTACATACAAAAATTTCATATTGTAATATCACAAGCATACTTAGACTTTAACGCTTATTAAACTGTCGGCTATTATTCTTTTTGTGTCCACACTTCATTTAACAGGAAGCCGTAAACGCAGCCTGGAGGAGGACGAGGACTTTGGAGCAATGCAGGTCACAGCTGCACAGAACGGATGAGCTTTGCTGATATTTAGCCGTTTGGCGCAGTGCACACTTTTTTTCTTTTTTCCCCATTTTTTTTACATTTTTAATGGGATTAAAAATGTAAATATTTGAACTTTTTCTAAGGGGAAGGGACAAGGGTGGGAGTGGGATCACTCATGTCTGAGACATGGAGTACTGACGGAGATGGGGCAAATTTGATAACTTTTTTTTCCCCTTTTTTTTTTTTTTTTCCTTGAGCTGTATGCACTGATGGGAGATTTTTTGCAGTTTTATAGTATTTAAAGCATTTTGCATTTGCAGCGGGACAGTATTGCAATAATGCACTTTCGATACTTGAATTTGTGTAGACGACCAGAATGGGGCACCCGGCAAAAGGGAAAGTAGCCAGGACTTCGCCCAGTGGAGGACATGAGAAGAGGAATAGCTAATGCCTTTATTTTGGGAGTAATAGGATTATGGACTAATATCAGGCTTAATGTGGGATAGTAAGGAATGGAAAAAATAACAACTCACTGCTTAATAAAAAAGAAGTCTGACTCAGTCCTGTTGAGCTGTGTTTGTGTATCATAATGCAATGCTGTGCTTCACAACTTTCAGTTCTTCTTTCCAGTATTTGGTTTATAAATATAATTTAATCTTATTATTTATAGACCATTTTACAGGGTGAATTCTTTAAGAATTCATTTTGAAACAAATTTGCAATGACAACACTGACTATATGACTATGGAAATTAACATTATAATTAATGTGAAAATATGGTCAATTTAGCTGGGTTTTCCAAAATCCTATGTATGAGAGACGCCTGCTCTCTGTCCTTGTGTCCTTAAACCTCACCTGCAAGGCTGGAATGCCACACCCGAGGTTCATCATCACTCCACATGAAGGATTTTAAGTTTTTTGTGCTTATCTACATGCTAAAATGATCTATTTCAACTGTGGAAAATATTTTGTTACAACTATGACTAGCAGATATGCCCATCCCATAGCTTCCTATTTGTACGACAAAGCTTCTACAAATATATATATTTTCAAGTTAAAATATGAATCAGTTTTGTAGTTTAAAGTTAAATGATTTCTTTTACAACTAGAAATATATGCAAGGAAACACAGTAGACCATAGAATATTTTATATGACTATTACATATTTGGAAATAAATTACATTAAATATGTTCCCCTGTTCTCCAGATTAACAGCGTTATTACAAAACTTAAATAGTTCATTTACAAAAGTCATTTTTATCCATTCCCCATCACAAAATGCTTCGATCCTCAACACAGTCGTCAAATTCATCACCCAATACAAAAACCTTAAGAACGCGCCTCACCCCTGTCTCACAAAATACAGACCTTTTTGTTCGCTATAAATATTATGCATTATAACAGTCTTGACTTGATAGTAATGCTTCATGTCTTGGAAGTATTTGAACCTTCATTATAGTTATCCAGCAACATTAATGTCACCGAAAAGTAAAGCCTGCTGAGATGGAGAGCACTTTTTTTTTTATGAGGACGAGTTAGAAAAATTACACCCAAGTAAAAGTCTCTTAGAGAAGAACGTTTCTAATCTAACTTAACTAAACAAGCAGCTGTTGCCGGTCATAAATTATTTAACCAACATTTAGTTGCTTCAGATATATAACTTAATTTTGTGCCACCTTGATTTCCAAAGCAATTGTATTTACTAGCAGTTGCATGATAGTTCCATATATAATTAGTATTTTCTCTGGGAGTACACCGCAAATCAGCTGTTAACAATGTAACACGATAAGACATTACATTTACAGTAAGTGACATTCTTCAGATGGTGGTGGTGGATGACGACGACAGGACTCCACCCTGGTGAGGTAGCCGTGGTTACCAAAGGGGCGGAGGATGATTTTGGACTGAGCAGAGGGCTTCAACATACACTTATGTTTACTCGAGTGCGCCAAAATCAAGATGAGCGTTGTGAAGTGACTCGACTGTCACAACCACATACTCATTCTTAGGCAAGTTTTTCCAATTATTAAGACACTTTGTTACAATGTTAAGTTTTGATGTCAGTGGGTGTATAAAGGTGTGGTCCATGCCCCTAAAACGGAGGTTTAAAGCTGCTGTGGTCTTCAGTCGGAGAATCGACACTGCATGTAAGTCTCATCTGAGGCGGTGTAGCCAAACTTTTGGTAGAAAGCCACGTTTTTGGGTGCACATTCCAGTGTGATTTTGTAGCAATTCATTTTTTTACTGAGAAGAGTAAGAGTTGAAACTAACCTATAAAAAGGGACAAGAGAGAGAGTTTAAAATATATAATAAAGCAGCACAAATCACAAGATATTTCCTAATTAAGCGTCCTATATCAATCATTTTGTGTGTGCTGGGATTTGTGGGACAAATATTTAAATATTAAAAACAACCAAAAACAAAATGTCTTTGTGTCATGCTCACACAGGTCTACTCACAGTTTGCCCAGCTGCTTCCCTCTGCACACGTCACTGACTACCACCTCCTCCACCCGGCCTCTCTGCAACAAAACAGAATAGAGAGGGTCTTTATTTTGTCTCTCTAATATCAAAACTACTTCTTTTTTACTATGCATAGTTTTTAAGGACATCAAAATTTAACTTTTTGGGGGGTTTATGGTGGTGAACTATGTTAATAATTACAACTCCTCTAATAACCACTACATTAATAAGTAACTTGTTTTATGGGATTGGTCTTGGGGGGGGAGTATGGAGAGAAATTACAGATGTATCCATTGGTAAATACGCACAAATTGTTTGCCACGATGTAATTTACCTTGGCACAGGAGTGGATGAATTTGTGTTCTGTGATCAATGTAGCCGTGGCAACAATCTGTTCCAGATTTGTGTCCTCCACCACAACGACGTAGTAGTCCCCTGTCCTCTTCATATGCTCAAATTTTTCTGGAAGCCAACAGACAACATACGTGTTTATTCATCATTAATATTTTATTACATTGTATTTAAAGTTTGTTTTCTAGGATGGGGATAGTTTCTTTTCTCAAATGTGTGATGTGATCTGATCTGATGTATATAAAGACAAGTTTTAGCATGAAAGCCAAATTCCAAAACTTGGAAAAACCGAGTTAACGGTAAATGTTCTGAACAAAATAATCACAATCCCACTTTTGTCTCATATAAAAGAAGCATTATGCTGAGCATGACTTACTCGTGAACTGCTCTGGTGTGACATCGCCTGTCTGTGTGAGTTGAGATAAAACCTTAAAGAATCCTGAAATACAGAAACAAAACAACAGTAGGTGAAAATGTCTTTGGGATTTCTTTTTCTTAACTTTTACATTTCTATTACATTACCAAACAACACATTATCTATAACAAAGTGGTCACCACATTCATATTCTCTGGTACTGGTCTGGAACAAATTATGCAACCAGTCTCTGACTCACCCCTGTTGAAGTCTGCCGTACAGAGCGGCCTGAGCACCAGGCCTTCTCCTGGGTTGGACGGGGAGATGGAGGGACAGAAGGAGACCATGTTGCTACTCCAGTCAAGATCCTGAAGCAGAGAGGGCTCAAAAAGCGGAGTCTCGTCCAGCAGCATTCCTCAATCTCTCCTTTGGAAACAGACACACACACACACACACACACACACACACGCAGAGGTAAGCCCACAGATACTTACACACCCATAAATGCCTGTATGCAAAACTGAAATTGTGACACTAAATAGAGAAGCTTTTTCTAGTCCGTCTCAGATACTGTGTCAGCACAGTGAGTGAACAGTCATACTATCATACTGCCTGGATTGGAAATATGTTTGCTCTAAGTCATACAGAACTTTGACCTGGCAAATAAAGTTTCACTTGGTACACAGTTGACATTACTTTACTGTCATGATTCAGTGGTTGACAAGCCAGTTGACATATAAATGAGCACACCTATATATTAATTATAACGGACATCCTCTTACATATATTACACAATGAGGTGATACCAGTCTTTAGCATTCACCCAGGATGTAGTCCAGGATATGTAACATGAGAACGACCCATTCAGCAGTGAACAACAGTACCTTAGTGCTGCAGGTGGCGGCTCTAACACAGGGAGTTTGAACCCAATGAGCACAGCTACATTCAGACGTCATTCAAGTCAGTCACCTAACATAACGATACTTATTGTCATGTGTAGGTAACCAGCCATACTGTCATATAGCTCCATTACTTTTCTCGTGTTGCCTGTCACACAGCTACTATCAGCCCTGCTGGCGTCAAAGCGTCAACATTACCTCTTTAAGCGTCGCCTGCCGTGCTAAGCAGCTAATGTAGCTAGCTGCTAACGTTACCTACCAGTGAAGCGGACGAGAAGAGACGGTCCGGTTGAATTCCCAGACGGGGGTAACGTACTACAACGACCGGGAAGTTGTACTAGTTATGTGTGAGGTTGGGCTCCATCATTGAGCTCAACAGTGTGGGTGTTTCCTGCTCGCCTGGCATAAGCCCTTCTGTATGACGTGGCAGAGACGCCGGAGGTAAGGGGCGCAGCCCAATGACGTCAATAGAACTACACACATCCCAGCCTGGTTTAAACAGAAACTATTTCTTATTATATTGTATATTTTATATTGTATATTGGACTCCAACAACACATTTATTGGACTAATAAACTCAAAGGTCCGGTGTCTTGGAAACTGGCCACTACATATTTGGCAGGGTTCACTGTCATTGTTGTACTTCTGTGGGTTTGTATCAAGAAAAAAGATTATTATATTTTGTTAAAAAGCCATAGAAGCTCTGTTTATTTAGTCTTTTGTATTAACATATTTTACAAAAACTAGATTTACAGAAATTATCCATAATTGAACCATTCTCGATTTAGGCACAAAAATACAGGAAAGCTCAGTTCAAAAAAGTACTCGTTCTGATTAAATAAGTAATGGTTATGAAAGACAACCCATGAATAGCAAAATACATCATGGATATGACGAGCTTTAAATAACTGAATGGAAAAATGAAAACAAAACTGTCTAGTTTCTTTTTTACATTATGGCTAATTGAAATCTAAATCCCACATTGTCTCCTCTTAACCCCCCAAACAGAGATTGAGCAATAAAATAAACACACAATAAAGATCACAACACTTCAGCTTTTAGTGGAAGTTTGCGGGCTGCTCTTTGGGATAAAGTGGAAGGAAACAAAAGTACTTGTCTAGATTCATGCATATCTTACCGAAAACTGCCCTCGCACTGTAATCACAAGAAATAAAACACTTATAATACAGACAAGTCTCCATCTTTGTGTCCGTCGATATGTCTAGTGCTACAGATTTAGTGAAATTTGACAATACCAAAATGTTTCAAGGGCCCAGTTCATGTTGTACATTTGTGAATTAAGATCTTTGGGCAGAGGATGATTATGTTCCTCCCTGGTATGATTTTTGAATTAGCACTCCTCAATGTGAGTGAACAAAGACCACACAAATTTATTCATAAAAGGTTCTCAGTCATTCAGGTTATAGAATATCTAGAAGTATAAACCGCAATACCGCAGAAGGCAACCGGATTTGTTGTTGAGTCTTGAACATGTTTTTTTCTGATGATCCGTTTTGCTTGAATGATTGACAAAACATCTACAAAAGACCATCCAGCAAGTCCAGCTGTCACAGACTTAATATCTACATACCCTTAAAAAAAACAAAAGGACTGACACTGATGACCAAGGACCCAATTATTATACTCAGTGGAAAATAATATTCTCTTACTCAGAGAGAACTGCTAATGAACAGAGGTTAATTTAAGAAAGACGGAGAGGATGACACCCATTGTACTTGTACAAAATGTAATACCCCCTGTTGCCTATGCATCTCAAGGGAACAGTATTAGAAAACATAGACTTACACGCCCACCCCCACCCGTTGTTAAATAACAAAACTGTTTGCAATGGGTGATATTACGCACTCAATACGAACCCACATGGGTCAAAAACACTTCGTTTGCAGCATTAATTTTGATAGAAACATTCATATTTGACAAAAAGGCTGAACAATACTAAAGTGACATTCTCTTACGCCAAGGTAAGAAATAAAAACGTGTTATTTTGCCTACACTTAATTCACAGTTGAAACTCATAAAAGAATAACACACAAATACATCCGATGAGTTTCGTCATCCAGAATATGTAGATTTCTACCATGAGAAACAAAACAAAAAGTCTGCTAAAAAGGAAAAACAAACAAGGACTCAAACAGCTTTATCTAGAAATGACACCTTCAAACCCCTCTCATAAAAGACTCTTCTGAATGCAACGCATGCTCATTTTTGACAGCCAGTCCCAATCATAGCAGATACTGACTCCCCACTCAAGCTGGTGGTTGCAATGTGTGGCACGTGAATAAAGGGCAATGCATCCTTGCATTTTTTGACTTGCACCCATCAATTTATAATATGCTCCAAATACTCTGGAATCAGTGAGGCAGAAGCCATTCACAATAGTCCCACCTCATTTAAGCAGCCCAAAACAGTCCAAACGCCATGTTTGCGACACTTTTAAATTATTGTTTGAATAGGTGATGACCATTCACTGTACACCAAATGGAGGATGGGGGGTGCGGGGAGGGGGGTGTTAAACTCTGTCAGTGTCTCTTGGGACGATGATGTGATAGACTCTTCTGCCGAAGCCAATCGGTATATCAGGGAGCAGGATCTGTTTGATTTTGCATGCGTCTCTCTGCAGCTGCTGCCATGGTTCTACGTCTCAGCACAGTCAAGTTCAATTCTGGAATAGCGTCCTCCTCCAGTCCAGGCAAATCCTCATCCTCGTCCTCTGGACTCTTGTTCAGATATCTCCTACAGGGTAGTAATGAACAACACATGATCATGGGAACAGAAGATTCAAGATAATGGGGAAAAGAAGGCAAAAGGAATGCTATCTTTCTGCTTGTTATTTGTGTATAACTGGGTCTTTCAGCTAAGTGAAGAAGGCCTTTAAACATTTTATGCGTCCAGCCCTGGTTCACACAGAAAAGTCTATTTCTACAAGGCACAATTTATACAGCTGATCTATAATGCAAAATCCAGTGCAATCAAAACAACAATAATCAAATTTCATTTTCAAAAAGAACACCAACATTTTTTTAATTGAACTTCTTTTGAACATAAAACATAGCTTAGCATCACTTCCTACGATGTAGAAAACTCCAAACAGTGTACAAACCTGCGTGCCTGCTGGATCATCTCTTCTTTCCTTTGCTTTAACATCTTCTGCCTCTCCTCAGCTGACTTAGAGAAGCGACCTCCTCTCACCTCCATGTTGTCTGACTCACTGAGGCCCTGCTCGGCTGCTCCACTGGGCCCTTCCTGCTCGTCTGCTGCAGGGCTCCCCTGTGTGGGGCCACGCTCTATGGCCTGAGGAAGGAACAGAGGCAGAATATTGTGATAGATTGTTGCCTTCTGCATTTCAAGAAAACCAAAGGAATGTGATCAGCATGAAACACAGAGGCACTGAAGCCCTGAAAGACCTGTGGGAGAAATTAGGAGTGATGTGTTATCAAAACAAGGTTTAAAGGCATCACTGAAATAATAACAAAAGCTGCTATTAAAATTTAACCCCAAACTGCCTGACCTGTGTTGGAAAAGGCACCTGGATGCGTCCTTCCAGGATGTTGTCAGTGGTGACCTCCACAGAGCGGGTCAACTGCAGGTCCTGCATTACCAGGTAGGAGGGCACCTGAGGGAACATCTCCTGGATCTGATGGGCCTGATGACCAGAAGGGACATCAAAAGCAAAGAGGGACATAGAGAAGTTAGTTAGAGAAACAACATTGTAGAGAGAAGAGCAGAACATAGTAAGTGGAAGATAAAACTAGATTTTTGTTGGCACAAGCAGGTCTTAAAATTACAGTATTAGTGATTTACAAGTATATGACAGTTCAGAATACTTGGAACCTTTTTGTTTAAATATACTTGGCATCTTTTGTACAGTTTCTGCTAAATATGTAGGTTAAATAAAGACTTTATCACTATGTCAACAAGCATTTACTGGTAAGTCAAATTTCATCTGAACAAAGTAATGATGTTAAGAACATCTGGGCACATCCCCAGAAACATTCTGAGGCAATAGACAACAAGACAGGGAGCGAAGAGTGGGACAGCATTGGCTTTATGCAAGTGTCAACTGTCAGCAACTGTCTAGGGAAAAAAGCAATATCTGGCCTCAAGATGTGTATCATCCTTCAAAAAAACCCCCCCAAAAATTAATCAGATTGTAAATACAAACTCACCATGGCCATGAGCTGGGAGTTGTTGGCCTGAGCGATGCCCAAAATATTGGTGGTGTGCATTACTTCCACTGAGAAACTGGGCAGCCAGCTGGCAATGCGAGATCCTGTAAGATAACGTATGGATTTTGTAATTCATTGTCACACACAGCCTACATCTGGTAAGGTGCCTCCTTGGTTCCCCCTTGGATTTGTGTCTGACACTTACCATCAAAGTGGAAGAAGTGATTGTGTTGGTTGATGTGTGGTCTAGCATCTGCAGCAGCTCCTACTGGACCAATGTTGTCTTCCAAACCCGCGCCCTGCTGCTGGCTTCTCGCCTGGCCCCCGTCCCCATTAATGTTCAGGGATGTTCGACATGTTGGACAGGAGGTGTCCTGCTCGAGCCATGAGCGCAAACAAGAGCTGGAATCACAGACACACAACTCACAAATGTTATTATGGCATTTCTCATGGCATATGGCATCTTCAGTAAGATAAGATAAGATGTTCCTTTATTGATTCCCCCGTAGGAGAAATTTAAGTTTGGCACAGTGGCACAGGGGTAATGTAGTGCAAAGAGCAAATATAATGGAAAAAAAGATGACTATATATAATCAATTCAGTTCAAGGCTCAGAACTGGTAATCTGTAGCATCAGGGTCATCTTATTACCCAAACTATCTGTACCTGTGCAAGATTTAGGGTAAACCAAAGATACTGCATTCAAGGCTGGTATATTTTGTTGCTTGCTTTTCCCACAGCCATCTTTATTGTGTAAGTAAAGATGAACTTTTTCTAGGCTATGGAGCCACAAGTCAGTGGCACCAGTAAAACAATCCCTGCATGGACTCTATTATGCATACTAGCAACTGCTGCTGATTGATAAAATACTTTACTTGTGGAAGAGATGGCCACAGGGTAGTTTGCGTGCTGTCAACATGGCATCCCAGCAGATGGCACAATCATCATCATTAACTGCCAGCTCCTCTGCAGTAGCAACAGCAAATCTGCACAAATAAAAATCAAAGTACATAGAAATAATGATGAAACAAGTAATTATCTAATGAAATAAAGCTTTAATTAGAAATAACTGAATTGAACAAATAAAGAACCACAAAACCATGAGGTAAAGAGGCACAAACTATTAAATCACAACATATAAATCACCTGGCCTCCATGTTGTTGATGACACGAAGGTAGTTCTTGTGTCGGCGGACGCGGCGCTGAACCTCATGGAAGAGATACCGCAGCTGCATGAAT